GGGGGAAGGGGAGGGTGTGGGAGATGCGATGTAGAGAGGACTGCGAAGCTCCGAGTAAATGAATTGGACAGAGCGCAGAATACGAGGTGTTGGTGCAGAGGCAATCTCGGGGTATATACAGATCCGTACGACTTCACTCTCTCTCGCCGCTCTCTCGTTCCTGGAATATCCGCGTTGGCTCGCCAGGGCCTGCAGAAACCGGACTACACAGGATGTGTCTGGCAGAGTCTGCCCCGCATGTTCGGCACGTGCACCCCGCTGTGCCGTCATACGGTCATAAAGCCGTTTTCTCTCAGTCTGCCTGGCCGCACCACCACCCGCGCAGAAGTTTTGTGACTCAAGAAAGCCAGCCACACTCGCACAATACATACATTCGCTGACTTCGCACCCATTCCTCACCTACACCCACGGCGACGAAAAGAAAATATGCCCATGTTAAAAGAGCCCTGGAAGAAATACAAAAAGTTCCAGCCCCTGCATCTGCCGGATCGACAATGGCCTAGCAACACAATTGACAAGCCGCCAAGGTGGTTGAGTACGGACTTGCGTGATGGGAATCAGAGTCTGGTGGACCCTATGGTACTCCCCAATTCCGTGTCTCGCGTACTCGCTCGCGCATGCACACACACACCCACACCCACACTCCTATACCCACACCCACACTCCTATACCCACACTCCTACTCCCACACTCCTACTCCCACATTCCTACTCCCACTCTCCCACTCTCCCACACACACACACACCACCAGCGTGAGCAATGCTAATCGGACGATTGTGTAGGATGGCGACCAGAAATGGCGATACTTCGCAATGCTCGTCAAGCTCGGCTACAAGGAAATCGAAGTCTCCTTCCCCTCGGCCTCGCAGACGGATTTCGACTTCACCCAGCGCCTCGTCCAGACCCCCGGCGCCGTCCCCGATGACGTCTGGCTGCAGGTCCTGTCGCCGTGCAGGAAAGAGCTGATACGCCGCACGGTGGACAGCTTGAAAGGTGCGAAGAAGGCACTCCTGCATCTCTATCTTGCCACCAGCCCGTGCTTCCAGCAGATTGTCTTCAATATGAATAATGCGGAGAGCAAGGCGCTGGCCGTCGAGTGCACCCGCTATGCCAGGAGCATCACAAAGGACGACCCGAGCCAGGCCGCCACAGAATGGGCGTACGAATTCTCCCCCGAGACCTTCTCAGATACCGACCCCGATTTTGCGCTCGAGGTGTGTGAGGCGGTGAAGGAGGCGTGGGGCCCGTCGGTCGAGAACAAGATCATCTTCAATCTCCCCGCCACGGTGGAGATGGCAACGCCGAACGTGTACGCGGACCAAATCGAGTATTTCAGCCGAAATATCTCGGAGAGGGACAAGGTCTGCGTGTCGTTGCATCCACATAACGACAGAGGCTGTGCCGTTGCCGCTGCCGAACTCGCGCAGATGGCCGGCGCCGATCGCGTCGAAGGCACGTTATTCGGTAATGGCGAGAGAACTGGAAACGTCGACCTCGTGACCCTGGCCCTGAATCTCTACACCCAGGGCATCCACCCCGGCATCGACTTCTCCGACATCACGTCCATAATCGACATTGTGGAATCCAGCAACAAGATCCCCGTCCACCCCCGCGCCCCCTACGGCGGCCAACTCGTCGTCTGCGCCTTCAGCGGCTCCCACCAAGACGCCATCAAAAAGGGCTTCCAGGCGCGCAAAGCCGCCGGTGCAACCGCCGAATCCCCTTGGCAAGTCCCGTACCTCCCGCTCGATCCGCAAGATATCGGGCGCACGTACGAAGCCATCATCCGCGTGAACTCGCAGTCTGGGAAAGGCGGCGTGGCATGGATTATCCAGCGCCAGCTCGAACTCGACCTGCCGCGTGGCCTGCAAGTCGCCTTCTCCAAGATCGTGCAACGCGAGACAGACATGTTGGGCCGCGAACTCAAGCCCACGGAAATCACTAAACTATTCGAGGATGCATATCACCTAAAGCGCAACCCCCGCTTCAGCTTAGTCGACTATGACATCACGACTGACCGCTCGACCTCCCCGGCTCCACCGTCTGTGGGTAAGACGCAATCCAACCGCAACCTCAAACGCCTCTTTTCCGGCGTGATCGAGATCGACGGACTTGAACACAAGATTCGCGGAGTAGGCAACGGCGCGATTTCGAGTCTAGCGAATGCGTTACGTACGCTGGGGATTGATCTCGATGTCGCGGATTATAAGGAACATGCTATTGGCAGCAGCAAGGAGGTGAAGGCGGCTACTTATATTGAGTGTACGGCGACGGGAAGTAGGCAGAAGGTGTGGGGAGTCGGGATTCATCAAGATGTGGTGCAGGCGAGTTTGATTGCGCTGTTGAGTGCCGCGAGTTCGGTGAGATATCCCAATTGATCCTCCCATCCAGCCCTCAAATGAATGCCTACTGTGGTGTTGATTGGGGTTGTTGTATTGGGTTGTGCTAATAGTGAGCGATATAGTTTCTGTCTTCAAGACCTTCAACACCTATCCCCTTCCGCCCCAAACGCTCGAATACAATGGATATCCCGAGTCCGGATTCTTCGCCTACGAGGCAGGCGTACGCGAACACTCCTTCGAGTGGTGGGAGTCCGCTTGTGCAGAGGTTGGAGGCGAGTGTGAATGGAAATGGGATGCATTGATTCCTCTCTCCCTCGCTCCCCTGAAAGAAGCCTATTTCTATCTCATTCTGTCATTACCGTTGCGACTATACTTCTTATTCTCAGGTTTGGAGTGAAGACTGAGACAGACGTTGTGAGGACTAGCTACCCTAAAAACCGTAGTTTGACTGGACTTATGAGAACAGACAAAAAACTGACGGAAAAAGAAAAAAGAAAAAAAGAAAAGCTTTATAGTCCGTTGCTGCCTGGAGTTTTCAACAAATAAAAAAAAACACTCAACACCAAAAAGCAATTGGAGCATGTATGCAGGAAAGTATGGATGGGATGAATGCATTGAAGGCTGGGTATGCATGCGTGCATGTATTGGAGTCCTAAAAGTCTTCGAGTACGACCGAGTTTTGTTGCTTCCGGTTTCTTGTATATAGTTATGACTTTCGGGGGTCGTGTTTTTCTAATCAAGGAATTACTTCGTTATGCGCTCATTTCTATATTAAGAGTTTGGCATTGAATCCCCGAGGAAGTGGGTGACTTAAGTGAGCGAATGAAAGCACATAAGGGAGTGCATGAAGCGACACTTCATTACCATGGCAGACCCATCCGCCACCAACTCAGACACCTACAATCTCCCATTCTGTACATACCACCCTACCACCCTACCACCCTAGTTGACCCGCTCCCTTACCACTCTCTAATCCGCCAAGGCCAGAAATTAAACACGCCGTAATTTTAAATTCGGTCAAAAGGACAAGAATACGGTCGTCGCGCCTAGCTATATATATACTCTCTTCATAGAAGGTCACACTCTGATAAGGTATTATCTATCAAGTATGTGGTAACGATGGGTTTGTTATCTATCGCCTTGGAATCTCTATATAAGCACTAGATATAGGTTGTTGGTATCATTAGGGAGAATATCATGTCAGGAAATCGCAGGGTTGTGTCTAACAATACTGAATTTCCGCTGGAAAGGACTCTTCATAAGCAGCACGTAGTCTTTGCCTGGCTAGCCATGGTATCAAAATGAATACAGGTGCCGCGCCCTCCCTCTGTTTGCTACGCCCACACCAACTTCTTGAGCGAATACCCCAACTGCTCAAAATACCCCGTACTCTTCTTCGCGTCGGCTAGAGAAATAATATCCTTCTCTTCCACCACTAGATCCCTCTGCTCGTGCTCATACACACCCCTCTGCTGATTCTCATCCGCCTGATCCTGATCCCACTCTTCAATATTCCACTTGACTGATGCCCGATTCCGCGCCTTATTCGTTATTCGAGTAATCTCCTCGCAAATGCCATTCACCACCTCGATTTCATTCTCCGGTTCTTCGGCAGTATCGCCAGTGGTGGTTGCTGTAGTGCGTGGTGGCAGAGCCTTGAAAGCAAGGAACCTCCCCGTATCTTCCGGCTTCTTCTCGCTCTTCTGATCTGGTTGATACCAAGTTCCCGAGTCAAGACTCCGCGTATTCCGTCGCACAAGCTCGTTGCCGACTTCGGTTCGATAGCGGATTATAAATCCGACGTTCTTTTCGGCATCCATGTGTCTCTGGGCTAGAGTACTTGTGATGTAGACTCCGCGTACAATGCCCTCAACATGGTCAAGTGCTATCCTTTCAAACTCTCTTACTTTCTCCGTCCCCCAATCTAGACGACAAAAATACATCGCCCGTTCCGTCAGCAACAAAACCGCCTCTTCAAACGTCGCCGTCTTCAGTGCATTTGCGGAATTGGGTACGGAGAGTGTCCACCCGGCAACAAGATCTTCCTCTTTATCTTCAATAACAATACCCTCACAGCGCTCAATGGCCGCCTGCCTAACCTTCCGCAAATCAATGAAGTAATCCGAGCTCTTCATATCGGCTTCAAACTCCGCAAAAATTGAGTCCATGGCGCGGCCAAGAAGGTAATCAATCACAGCTTGTGCGAAATAGTCGTTAACGATATTATTGTAATATCTGCTCAGCGTGAGCCCGAAATCTGTCAAAGCGCCTGTGATCTGGCGTTTGCGGGTGCGGGTATAGTCGCCTTTAAGTGCGGCCGTGCCTGCGTATTGCCGCGATATCGCGTCACCGTTGTCGGCCCACAGCGTGTTAAACCAGCTTGTGGACGGGTCGTGTTGAAGATCAATACTGAAGCTGCCGGCGGACAGTTGTGCTTCCAGAGCGGTCCGCGCGCACGCAGATTGAACGACGTTTGTCCGGTCAAGGCAGTCCATGCAGTTGGTTCTGAGAACTCCGGATTGTTCGTGGGTGATGCGGTCGTTGGAAATTTCGGTCCAGTGGGATGATTTGAGGAATGGGGCGAGGGTATTCATGAGCCGCGAAACATTCTCGAACCGCATCCCCCGGCACTCGTAATGGAAGTCGAACCATTCGAATCCTAGCTCCTTGCCTTGGCCGTCAATTCCTCCATTCGAGTTTAGCGCTTCTGCTTGCTTCGTAAAGGCGCCTCCAATCCTGGCCTCTGTCCCGTGCTTATCGACGAGTGATGCGCAATACAAGGATCCGTATCTGGATGCTAGGTCGGAGATGTGTCGTTTGAATGCCTTAGCATTAGTCTCAGGTGAGCCCCAGAACATGACTTGCGGCTTCAAGCTGTATGGGGATTGCGAGAAGAAGAGAGGAATGGATCCGCGATATTGAGTAAAGGAGAATATTTTATCCTGACTTGAGTCCCATGTTGGTGACGACAGGATCTGTTCGGTTTCCACACTGTTCGCAGCATTACCTTCGTCGTCCACGCCACGGCGGAGATAGCGGAGACCGGCTCTTTTGATGGATCTTCGTGATACGAGTGTGAGGACGAAATCCTTTCCGTTTGATATTTCGGGGGGAGGGGTATCGGTGTTTGTGTCTGAGCTGGAGTCAGATTCGGTTGCCGCGTTAGTTGTTGACCACGCTTGAAGCGGGATATCTTCGGACCCAGAGTGAGGATCTATTACCACACTATTGGTTTGCGAATCGACAAGTTTGATACTGAAAGCTCGTTGACCGACGAAGCCTTGGATTAGCGGGAGTACAAAACTATGCTGACCGGCATTTATAAATGGCGCCATGATGTGCTGGTTCCAAAAGTACTAGATTTAAGGTCAGACTTTGGCACATAATTGGCCAGGTACGAATTAGACTAACCAAAGGATCGAATTGTTTGAAAAGCGGCAAGGTGGAATTTGGTTGTTGATGTGCTATGCCCCGAGACAAGTCATAGTCATACGAGAAGAAGAAACTCCCAGAAGCAAAGTACATCCTAGTAGTACGCAATATCTTTGGTAAGAGCGCAACTGTGGCCGAATCCTTCGGCCCCTCTAGTGCCTTGGGTATCTCTTCAGGACCCACAGCTTCGTGAATACCTGAACCCGCGACAGAAAGCACCTTGGGATTCGCGGGGCTTTTGGGATTCTCTTCCTCTTGCCGTAGGGTTGATTCTACGTATTTCGGAACATTCTTCCTTGTGAGGTCTTCCTCTGAGCTCATTCCTTGCAGTCGCCTACTATCAGCACTCCACCCTTTCCTGGAGAACCACCGGTCGGCAAAGCGCCCATACATCCCCCGCTTTTGCATTACATCCTCGGCAACACTCGTCCTTCTCTCCGCTGACCCTCTTTGCCCAGTCACGTGATCCTCGACTTCTTGCGGAGCAGCCGCATCCGTTTCCTCTTCGAGTGAATCCGTGACACTAGCAGCATCATCATCGCTCTCACTTTCTGACTCTTCTGTGCCAGCCACTGCGGCCTTGTTATGCCTTTTTATGTGCTCTTTCGCAGCGACAATAGCCTGGTCGGCGTCTGCTTGGGAGGACAGCGGAATCAGGGCGACACTGGTGATCTTGTAGACAGGCTTGCCCCGTATTTGCGCGACTTGCTCGCGCCCGCATATGGAAATCAGGAAGTAGGAGGTAGCTATTTTCAAAAGGCCTGAGAAATTGCATTAGCCTAGCTAGACATTATGCGAAAAATAGAAGGCTAACTCGGGAGAGGGTAACAGTACCTACGATGCCGTGGCTGTCCAGCGAGGACGGAGCCGTGTTCTCCTCACGTCTATCTTTGAGTAGCGGTCCCACATTGCCCTTGTAGTCGATTTTGATAGCCTGCTGCGTTGCTGGGGGATGATTGCGTGGTGGGGCAGGCTGGAGTATAAGGCCGTCAACAGCTGCGAATATTAGTAATTTTCGGACTAGGGATGGCATATTGACGGCTGCTAGAGCGGCATTAAGAGATCATCGGATTAGCAAGAAAGGACATGGATATAGTCCTTCAGTTGTATACGACGTTGGTGTTGCGCAGTTAGAACGTCCGGATGACGTCGACTTGCGCGTGGAGGACTAGGTCTTTTAGGGTTAGCGGTGGATCATTGTCCGCCAATCAAACCCGAACGTGTGTGAAGACGCCACTCTCAAGGATATGTTCGCGACAACGGAAATATAATCCAATACTAATATAACGGTAAATATATCTATGAAAGAGTCAAGTCGTCAATCCATCAAGACCCTCCCCTTTCCCTTTCTTGGGTTTCCAGCAACAACGGTTCTCTTTTTAAGGTCTATCCAGAAACTTATTCTACACTATCTCCTCAACAAGAGCGCACTGGCGTCTCCCCTCTTTATTTGAAAACTCTTTCTCCTTCTTTTCCAGTGCCCCCGACTCCAAAGACTTCCTCCTCGCACTATCAGCTGACAGGCTCTGGGCAGCAGCTTTCTTCCCCCTTAACTCACCAACAAAAATACTAACAGCATAGCCCACCCAAACAACCACAGCAATAACTGAATAAGTGAAGACTTGCCAACTATCCGTCCCCTTATGCGTGATCTCAAACCCAAACCCCGCATTAACAATCCCGAGCGTGATGCAAACCCGCCCGGTCCAGAGATGAATATACGACCACACGTTCCGCGAGATGTATTTCTTGAAATTAGCATGATGGAGATAGCCTGTCAAAGATTGGAAGAAGAACAAGACAAAGATGAGCAGGCCCATTATGACGTGCTTATTATTCAAGTGCCAATAACGCGGGTTGATAGAGAGCTCAACACCAAGCCCGATGGCTACGATGTACATGCAAAAACCGAAGATCTGAAAGCCCGCATGGACCCAGAGGAGCCTGGGGAATGAGAGGAGGCGGATCATGATGCCGCCAATGGGGAAGACGGCAGCCCAGGCAAGACAAGCGAGGATGGCGTGTGCGGTGTACATGCGCACGATTCTGGGGGGTGGGCCATGGAAGACGGGTTCCTGAACTCCGCTATGTGAGGGGAGGGAGTTGCCACTAAGGTCAGTCATGGTGGGGCTGGCTGCCAGTGAGTACGCTGATTGGGCTGATTGCGGACTTTTAGCACTGTATTGATCGCATTTGACAGGGAGAAGGCTTACCGAAGCAAAGGGAAGCAAGAAGAATGCGCCTGGAAGTCATTGCGTGAGAGAGGCCGACTAGATTCAGGGGAAAGAATATATTTTGGATATCGACATCTAAAGAGAATTACGGTCTGCCAGTCAGAAGCCTTGGCTGAAAAGCGGATGACGTGGTCTCGGAAGACTGAGTAGCTACTGATAGCACCATCGCTATATATATGGTCCAACCTTCTAATGTCGAAGATTGGGAATCGTGAGATTGGCTAGCTGATCGAACAGCAAGGTTGAGAAGATGTGGGAGGACCTAAGTCCATATACAGGAACGTGACAACAAAGTTCGTAACGTTCCAACAAAGACGCCAGTCCTACAGCGGCTTACGTTAATTAACGCTATTGGCCCAGGATGCATTACGACACTTGGCACCCCAACCAGACTTACATGGCGCACCCGTTATGGCCCGGCATTAAGAGCCTGTCCCCCGCCACTATTTTAGTTTGTGAAGTCTGCAACGCAATATAAAATGCAGTCCTACTTGGTGGATACTGCTGTGGTATAATTGAGAGAGCTAAGGTGGTGAAACAGGCTAGGCGCTACGGTAAGACACACGATAAGAATGTTACAATGAAGATGCGAAGGATGGCAACCATCGTATGTAACTTTGGCGTTGTGTTAGAGATACTATTCATAAGCTTACCTCCTCTGCTTCCCTCCAGAGTCGCTATCTCCGCGGATCTAGTTCGGCTTTGAAGGCCCGATCATCTCCCCCTCGGAATCTGCACCTCCTATAATCACCCCACGCTGGTATCTTGCTCGATGGAGTTTACAATCTCGTTGCCCCGATGGACTGGAGGGCTATGCACACCGGAGAGGACGTCAAAGGTACTTTAAGATCTTTTAAACAAGCTTCAAATCTATAATTCAATGCCAAAAATGTACCAAAAATCAACCCAACCAGTCATCCCTCCAACTCCTACCCTCCACCCATCTCCAATCTCTAGCCTATTCCTTCTTTACCCCGGACGACACAGGCGCACACCAGATACTCGTCGCTCTGTCATTGAAATTGTAGCTATACTGCGGATCCGAAAGATCATCAATCTGGTGATCAATCCCCCATGTCCTGCCGCTATCAGGGACGGATTCATCGATCTCACAACCCGGGAAACTAGGTTTTCAGAATTAGTATGATTATTGCTTGGTGACGAATTTGGGATGGGAGAGTTGGATGTTGGGAGAGAACGAGGGGGTCTTACTCGTAAAGCATACAATAAATCCCAGCATCAGGAAGAATTGACTTGATTGCGTTGTTGAAATTGGATGGGAGGTTCGCTGAAAGATGTTTAGTTAGTAGCACACTCTCCCCTGACGAGGTTTGTGGAATGGGAGGCTTACAGCATGTCGCCGGATCAATGGACACTTCAATTGTGGTCTTCTCACCAGTAAGACCAAGGCCTTTGGCAATGATAACGTGCGACGTTGTTGCTCTTGCTACTGCTTTGGCTGCAGGTTTGGGAGCAGGAGCCGCGAGACTCAGGACTGCTAGAGTGAGGGTGAGGGTAAGGGTGGAAGCGGTTTTCATGTTGGAGCGAGTGGGTTGGGTATGGTTGGAAAGAAATTTGCAGAAAGAGGCAGTTAGAGATTCTCCGTTCTTGTACTGTTGATCTGTTGAGTTGGTTTGATGCACTCCTCAGGGAAACATCGCCCATCTTTATACTTCCCCCACCCGCCAAACCAATTCCCCTCACCACCCCTTCACCTCCATATCCTTCTCTACCATCCTTCTCTACCTACATGTTCTAGAAACCGCATGATCGACGCCACCAACAACCGCATTACCTCCCAAATGTCCAAGCAGGAAACGTGTGTCCACAGCCCATTCTGCACTTCCAACAATCTAGCCATCTCCTTAGCCTCGTGCGATTCCTTCACGAAGGTAAAACATCGCGTTCCTTGCTCTCATCCAATTATCTTGCCTCTAAGTTACCTTCTATAGGTCCAAGCTCACTTGGAAGACGTCCTTTGTCTACGCCTCCCGTTCCCCCAACATACTATCAGGATTCGCCCATCCCTGCATAATCTTACGAATCGTGTATGCTGCTAAATGTAATCGCGCAAGGACCAACAAGTAGACGCCGCACGGAGAATTAGGAGATCTGGGATTTGCGAAGAATTCGGGTTGGTGTGGCGTAGTTGTATGGTGCATGAAAGCTTTGTTGTTTGCTGGAGGCTGGGGCGAGCTGGACAGGATCGTGGCGATTGTGGCGGTGATGCGATGGAATCAGTTTGGGGAACTAGTTGCACCGGCAGTCTAAATGGACTTCTGGCTTTGAATGGATTGGGGGTTTTGGTTTGGGTGTGAGATTGCAATGCAGGTTTGGCAACGCATCAATTATTTTCTTTTCCACAGTTGGAATCGTGAAGCGACTTCAGAAGTTGCGCATTCGAGCTTCACTTTCGACGACTAACTTGCCCTTGTATGTGAAAACACGAGGGCTAAGGCGCATGAAACTTAATTGATGACCTATAGCTCAAATCCAGGAACTTGTACGAAAACCCAGGCTCCCACGAGGCGAAAGCCGCGGAAACTGAAGTTGCTCCAGGTGAGGACCACATGGGAGCGACAGTGCGATGTGCACGTTCTCATGCGTTGGGTTGGGAAGTGACAACGTGATAGTTCAGAGACCAATGAGATGTTGTTGGCCGAGTGAATTTCATGTAAGCTGAACAATGTGAAGCAGGAGGATTGTTTCAGGGCACAGCTGGGAAGCGAGTACGAGGTCAGATAGACTTTCAAATTTGAAATGCACGCATGGTATGTAGTAATGTAATCCTGCACGTTGTTTGGCGACTAGTTTCGCGTAGGCAGACAAGCGCTCCGGGTGTCATTCGATGATCTCGAAGGGGAATGCACATGTAACCGGCCTGCAAACTAAGCCTCGCTCTCTTCTACGTCGACGTAAATCCTCAACTCCTTCTCTAGCAAAATGTTGTAAATCTTCCTTAATTCATCATCAGCGAGAATATCGTCTTTCATCAGATGCGTAAACCCAAGCATCATATAATCCTTACACCAAGGCAAATGCGTCAAGCCTTGGAAGAAAGTCTCCTTCACCCTCCGATTGCACTCTTCCACATGAATGTCTTGCTTGCTCTTTTTCCCATCCATTCTCAGCTTCTTGAACCCTCTCTTCGCCTTCTCTCTCCTTGCTTCCTCAAGTTCGAACAGGACGTGACTGCACCAGAGACCAGGGCAGTAGGCACCAACACCCTCCTCAGCCCTTTTGAATATCGCGCGGATCGAATGGCCGGTGGAGCCTGTGATCTCACTTCTTCGCATTTCGAAGTGTATCGCGAAGAACCATGCAGCGATGGTGCTCTCGTTGCCTCTTCCAGAGCTTTCTCGATACATGATGGTCCTGACGCGATCGTGGATCGGAAATCTGGCTTCGTTCGCGGCATAAAGGGATAAAAGAATTGTGTTGCTAGGAAATCGAGTTATGAGAGGTTCTAGGACGCCGCGGAGGAATGATGGCTTGACTATTGCTGCGTTTGATGCATAGTATGTCACGAGCTTGGCTATCGCTTGAGCGTGTAGCTCTGCCATAGGGCTACCACCGAGCTTTCGTTCCTCGAACCAGTTAGATAGACTGGCATGGACTGCAAGAGCGGGGATAGGATTTGTTTTGCTAGACAGGTATGCCAAGAGGGCCAGAAGTGAGGTAAAGAGAATAGCGGATGAGTAGTCCCGACTGATAAGAGAACGATCTTTTCCGTCGCGAAAAACAGTTTGAGCGCGCAGGATAGTAGATTGGTCGGGTCCCTTGCCATTCCCTTGCGTCACTTGAGTCGTTTGTCCCTTTGGAGACACAAGTCGCCAGAATGACTCCTTTTCGTCTCCGTGACGTAAAGCTTCCCAAACCCAACTATCAAAGAGCTGCAGACTCCCAGGCGCAGCAAAAGGAATCTGACTCTTGTTCATGGAGAGTGCAGTGCGGAAAACATTGTCTGCTCTTTTGCCGCTCCCACCACGGGACTCAACTAGACCATATGCATTGTACAAACGGAAGTTTGTTGGTCGCGCTTTGAGGAGTTGCTTTGCAGTATTGAAGACCGCGGAGGGAAAATACTTGAACTCAAATGCAAGGAGATATTCTCCAAGAATCTCATCGCGTGTGACATCTGTTGCAAGAAGTTTGAGCACCCGCTGAACGAATACCGCGTCAAAAGACTCATGGACAGTGGTAAAACCTTGGTCAATGAGGAGCTCTGTCGTCATCTGGAAATTTATAGCAGGTGAGTCTCTGAACAGGCTCAGAGCTTGCGAAAATGAGCTTGATTGTTCGCACTGAGTCTCACGGGAGCCGAGCAGCTCGACGTGGAGAAATGGATCAAGGCGCCATATCTGGGAATCCGATGGGGTTCGAGCAAGTGGAGGCAGGTGGCAGAAGCAGAGAAAAGCCCCAACTAGAAGAACATCGGGAGTATCCTGTGGTATGCACAATAGGTATTCATCCAGATCTGAGAACAGAATTGTGTGAAAGGGATCATCTTCTCCAATGTCGTCAGTCGTACGACCAGCATACCGTAGCTTGTCCATACATTCTAACTCCTGCATATGGAATACCCTCAAGTCTAAAGCCGACTTCTCCGGATAAGCCAAGGGACTCTGAGGAGGAAGTTGTACAGAGCCATCCAGATCCGAGTATCGCCAGCCTTTTGCGCTCACTTCGCCGATGCGAGGAACTTCACTCTCCCAGAATTCTTCGAATTGGCGAAGAGACTCCTCATTCTTCTTATCGCCAGGTCGCATGAGATGAAACTCGAGTATACTTTGCCATATGGCCATGGCTAATTCTTGATATCCAGATTGCCTAATCATTGACGTCATGCGGATAATGAGGTGGAGAGAAGCCGCTGGCGATATAGGATTTGTCCCCGAACGGAGGGCCTTCAAGCACCTGCTAAAGGTGATCCGGCAGCTTTCATACTTGAAACTAACAAAACTTGTCTGCACGAAATCGAGGTACTTTATCCAGAGTTCCAAGCTGTCGGCGTGATTGGCAAAGATCTCCTCCCATTTCCTGACCAGTTTCCCCCTGTCCCAGTGCTTCGATGCTTCAGTCATGAGTAAGATCTGAAGCTGGACCCGATTTTCGCGATTGGTGCCAATCTTTTTGAGGGCTTCCTCATATATAGAGATCTTGATATCTGCGAGATGCCGTTTATCCGAGCCGCTGAGATGGGCAGAAAAATCTGCCCGACCCATTCTCATCATTGCCTCCTGGTGGTCGGCGAGGTCCAACCAGGGCTGGAGACTTTCAGGATGTTCGCGCGTCTTCTTTGTCAGAACAGTATTCCTCTCGGTGACCTCTGGATTTACGACATCGGTTCCAGGGTCCGAGTCATATCTGGTGTCTGGATCAGATGAATCCTCTACATCGCTTTTTCTTGAGATTGAGCGATAATTGGCTTCAACCCCTAAGGGATAGAGGACCGTATCTGAGCTACATCTCCCCCGCCTTGTATTAGGGAGGATGATGTAGTCTAAGTCATGGTTCGGCTCCACGTTCGCGTCTGGTTTTATGAAATGCGTAGATTGCACGCTACCCTTGAAGGCTTGTTTCGACGTTAAAAGCCTCCCTGGCTTACGATTCGATACCGGGGGCGTCAAGACGATCTCCTTTTCAGTAGTTAGGCTCCGGTCAATCCTCCTGTCACCCGTGACGCCCAGAATGAAGCCACTTCCAAAACGTCGATAGGATGGAACTTGACGCCGGTCCAGACTCCCGTATTTCAGGTTGGCCGGGTCTCCCTTTCTGTCGGTAAAGTACAAGTCACCATGGTCCCTCTCCGGAGTTCGTGAACGTCTTCTTTTTGGAATCGCAGACTTGGATTTCTTGTCGTTTGGAGGCTTTTCTGGCCGCTCCTGTTTCTCGTGTCGAGCCGGCGCTCCAGGAGGGGCTGCTGGCGCCTTTGGCTTTGGCCGGAAGGAGGCAAACTTAGGCACGTTGGCATTCATGGCTCGACGTGACAAGCTGGCAAGCACCCCTTGCGATACTAAGAGCTCTGTGGGGTGAGTTGCACGTACAACGCAGGCTCCAGAATATGGTTTTACGGCTCATGGCTTGGATTGCTGCACTTGGATATCAACTGAGGAGCTGGTGCAGGTGAAGCCGAAGGTGCAGGTGCAATGCGGAGGGCCCGTGCGCACTTCCGAGGACCTTGGCAAAATCTTGGCGCTAAATTTTGAGATGCATTTGTCTACCTCTCTCACCCCTCGCAATTTGCATTTCACGGCTTCTTGTCCTATCCCAGCACAGCTGATGGACTCTACAATTCCAGGCCCCTATTTCGTCAGCCGTTGAAGCGCCAATATGCCCACCATGCGTCTAACCTCATTGCAAGGGCAGCTTGCAGAAATTGCGGCCAAGAGCACCCGTCAACTCGACCTCAAGGCGCAAAAGGCCGCTCACGCGAAGTCACTGCTCTTCGAGCCTAAAGTCGCCGCCTCTCAATCGTTCGACGCCGTCTACTTAGTATGTTACGAGGGATTTCGCGACCTATGTGCGCTCGACCATCGTTTCACGCCGTTTGCGCGGACTCTGTTCAGCGAGCAGAGCAAAGTGGAGGATCGGACACAGATGACTAAGGCAGAGAATCAAGAACTAGACTCCGTCTTGGAGGCATTTATCGCCTTGGTGGGGCCGCGGCTACTGCTGAAGCCCGCCGAGAAAGCCTTGGAGTGGCTGGTCAGACGGTTCCGGTATGTCAGCTTCTGAAGAGCGCCGACATATTACTTATTGCTCTATAGCGTCCACGAGCACAACACGCAATGTCTTGTGCTTACCTACCTCCCATACCACAATACTCCGCAGTTCCTATCCCTTTTATCGATACTTCCATCGAGTCCGCCACCGGCATTGCGATTCCTCTTCTCGTACATAACCCCGCCGAAGAACCCCCCCCGACAAACCATTGTATACACCGCAGCCCACACACCTGCCTTCTTCAACGCTCTTCAAAATCATGTAGTAAAGGTTCTACAAGCAGGATACCAGAATCCTCCGCTCCTCTCATTCTGGTCTGGCATTACAACTCAAGCAATTGATGCCACCCTTGAATCTTCACTCTCGGGAAGGAAGGGTGTGCAAGATCAACGAATGGACGAGATTCTCCTTAGGATCCTCCCCGTCTTGAATGAATGTTTGAAGTCCTCCACGGCTCAGGAGGCTGTGTTGGGCTCGTACATGATCATCATTATCCTGGCTACAAAGGGCGCTTTCGAGGATAAAGTTCTTGACTCTTTGATGGAAGCCGTGGTGCTGAGCCAGGAAGAGGAGACGATGGAGAGTTCCCTGATGTGTCTGGCCATCGTAGCCGAGGAAAGGTCCCAGGCACACCTCCCCGCATCGGTTGTGAAGAGGGTTCTCAAAACTCCCGACTTATATCGGAAACTGCAGTCTTTGGCGGATAAATGTCGGGTTGGACGACTCACTCTTGGATGTGCGTTAGGCGCTCTCCACCGTCTCAGCTATGCAACGAACTCGACGGAATTTCAACTCTTCTTCCAAAATGCCATGGACCCCCATCTACTTGATGATTCCCAGGTCGAGATCTCGTTATCGAGTTTGCTCCGGTTACTTCGGAAAATTGTTCCGGGGTCGACCCAACATCGCGAGCTCCTTGATCTCATCGCTAAGTTGACCGAATCAAGCCCTGTTTCTGCGAAGCTACAGACGATGCTTCATGCAAGAAAGGCAGTTTTCGAGTCGCTGGGGGTTGTCCTATCACCGCTAGTTGATACTAGCGAAACGAGCGATGATAATACAGACGAGGACATGGCCGATGCTGAACGAGCACCAGCGCATATCAACAGCCAAACACAAATTTCTCTCCCTGATATTTCTGAATCCTCCTTCCTCGATACTGTGCCTCCAAAATCTCTCGACGAAGCTACAAGTGCGTTTGAACAGGCTGTTATTCAAGGTGACCAGCTCAGTCATTTCCTAAGCCGGCCAGCACTTCGGCGAGATGAGGGCTTCCAAGGAACCTTGTTTCCTAGTTTCATGATCCGGTTGTGGTGTGGCCCAAACTCTAATCGGGTCCGCCTTGCTGCTCTCCGCGCGACCACATCTTTAGTCGAGGAGGTCGACAGCACTGTTGATTTTCAAGTCCTCATCCCCTACCTTTTGTATGCGCTTTCAGATCCATCATCAGACGTCCGTCGCGCAGCTGCTACATGCACTGTCACTTTAGCCGAGAACACCAAGGCCATGACAGACTGGCCTGGAATTCATATCTGGGGATCTTCGGATTTGTACGGTGCAAACACTTCAAAAGTATGCTTGTTGGCCCCTGAACAAACCGCAAAATTTTTCGCATCAGTTCTTGTTCCGATTCTCGAAGAATGCGCGATGGACTCTGAATATGCCATTACATCCATCAGGACTCTTTTACAGGGAACTCAAATATCGAAAGACAAAAGTGCGAAAGGGCTGAAATCAACTGAAAGAAGCTTATATCTCGCCTTTTTGAGCAGTCACGTCGCCGTTACACCACTTCTCCGTCTCCGTCTCCGTATTCTTCCCCTTTTCGAATCCTCGGAAAACTCTTTCGTAAACATTCGCTTCAACACTCTATTCCCTCTTGTGCGCAATTGGTGTTCTCTGACAAGCTCAGATACTAGAATCACCTGCAACCTGGAGAAACTCGATGTGTCCGACGTGGATCGAGCGCATTTGAATGTCCTCGTACCAAGAGATTCGGAAAGCGCGAGTCTCCTTCGCAATATCCTACAGGGAAAGTTTAACGAAGGGCGAATGGATCTCCAGGGCGCTGCATTTGACCGACTGAATACCATCTGGTTATCTCTGAGATCGGAAGACCGCTTATCATTGGCTCAGTGCCTTCTAGATCTTGCACTAAAGGAGAAGCATACCAACAAGCTCGACGAGGTTCGCAAGGAACGCTCACTAGAAACTCTGCGCGACATTGAATTAGGCACAAATATTCTCACAGCCTTCATTGAAAGTGTTCCAGCCACAACTCGTATGCCTGAGGGACCGCCGGCTACGAAGAGAAGAAAGACAAGCCGCTCCGAGATGGCACGGGTTGAATTACAATCTCCACATGAAACTGCAGTCGTTCTGCGTAGATTAACACTCGTTTTGGAGCTGGTACAAGGCTCGAATCCCTCGAATCATCCAGCGCTATTCAAAAGCTTGTTTGCGATTCTTGGCGAGCTTCAGCAACTCAAGCAGCAATCTGGTTCAAATCTTGCCTATTTACAGAGCCTAGTCCTTGACTCGCTATCACCGATTGTCGATAAACTCAAGGTATGTCTGATTCCATGAAAGTATAAGACAAAGCTGACATTTCGAACTAGAATAAGGATCCAGCCGAGTATCGTAGCTCTGTCCGTGCCGATCTTCTTATTGATTGCATTCGACATTCGACCAACCATCAAGTGCAGAATGCGGCGCTACTTCTGATTGGTAGTCTAGCATCTTGGGTACCCGAGTTAGTTCTCCACAACCTTATGCCTATATTCACCTTTATCGGCTCATCCCTGGTTCGCCAAGACGATGGTTACTCCGCTCATGTAGTTGATCAAGTACGTAATTCCTTCTGAATACAGTATTTACACACTCACCTTTAATAGACCATATCGCAGGTAGTGCCACAGCTGGCTGCCTCACTCAAGACTAAGTCCAGAGATTTCTTAACCGGAGTTGCAGATTTACTGCTGAGTTTCACAGCCGCTTTTGAACATATCCCTCAACCTAGACGACTTAAACTTTTCAGCGAGTTGGCACGGACCCTCGGTCCCGAAGACTCCTTGTATGCAATCATTGCCCTTCTCGTTGATAGGTATCCATCTGGTACCAGCGGACGGAAACTCATCACCCAGCTGCTGAAACAGTTCGATCCTATGGCAACTCTCCAGGTAATTACTCTACTGAACACGCTAGATATTTTATCCCTGACCGTTACAGACCTTCAAGGGATACCTCGCCCTTGTTATCGAGGCAGCTAGCCCAAAGCCAAAGATTTCGAATACGTTGTTTGGCCTGAACGAAAAGAAACCTTCTCAAGTGGAGGATGCGCTGACGAACCTAATATCTTCTCTAGCGGACCTGGCTGTTGATGGCGCACTCCGAAGTCACATCGTCCAAGCGTTCGTGAAGCGTGCTGATTCAGCGGAGGCTCGTAGTGTTTTCGCTGAAATCTTGGAGGCCACAATCCAGCTGTCTAAGAAAGTGGTGGGTAAACCCGGACTTTACCAATCTTGCAGCCGTGTGCTTGCCAATTGCCTCGATCTCTTACCTACGCTGGACCTCATCAAATCCGCCGAATTGCTTCTCCGAAATGCGGATCATCAAGTACAAATTGCAGCCATCAAATCAGTCGAGGTTAGAGCAGGAAAGGTGTCACAAAACGAACAGACCTCTGTTTCGGCCATTCTAAGTTTCCTTCCTGCAATCAGAGTAGTCCTACAAAAGTCTCAAGACATCGATGTTAAGATCACTTCCGTTAGCTGCACCGATAGAATCGTTGAGAGGTTTGGTAAAAAGGATCCGCCAGCCGTTGCAGCTATTGCGCAAACAATCGCAAGCCCACATTCGCTGGCAAGCGGCGATGATCGGTTACGCATATTGTCGCTTCTCTGTCTCGCTTCTATTGTACCCGTTGTGGAAGGCGACGAGGCAATCTCGTTATTACCAATCGTTCTACCCAAAGCGTTCCAATATCTGGAAGAGAGTATTGACAGAAAGAATGATGGTCTGCACAATGCGGTGTTTGCTCTCCTGTCTGATATAGTTGAGCATCTAGCTTTTATGTTCTCTGGGGAGTACATGAGTAGAGCGCTCGAACTCTCGCATCGGTCGGCTTTATCCCAGCTAAGTGAAGCATGTGATCAGGATAGACTCCAGTTCTATCGGACAATAGCAAGGTGTGTCGGGGCGAAAGAGATATTTACTTCTCTTGGAACGACTCTGCCTCATGCTTTGGGTGAAGGTTATAAGGTACGTCTAGTTTCACACTATCCTCCGCTGTTTTCTGAAATTTATCTAGGCATTCCATGAACACCTTGAACTTCTTCTCCTCGCGATCGAGAATCACGATAAGTCGACAGTAATCCGGGCGAGCCCTGCATTATTCTCGTTACTGCTCAGGGCCTTCGATCTTCGACAAGCAATTAATCAAATCCACAACGAAGACGCATACAGTGAGGGCACATTAGATCGTCTAGAAGATTCCTTAGTCGAAGCGGTTATCTCGATGACCCTAAAGCTGAACGATGCTACATTCCGACCTTTCTTTGTTCAGCTAGTCAAGTGGGCAGATCCTTTGTCAATCGAGCGTATATCTCACGGCATCGCGCGCTCTGTGACCTTCTTCAAGTTCATGACAGCCTTCTTTGACAGATTTAAAGTATGTCGCCGAAACTACTTATAGACTCCGTAAGGGTTATACTAACTTTTACAGTCGATTGTTACGAGCTACGCGAGTTACATTGTGAAGCCTGCATCTCTTCTTTTGGAACATCTTGTAACCTACGGAGACGAACACGGACTTCGACAACCTCTCCTTGGAGCCCTTCAAAAGAGCTTTCAATATGACCAAGATGGTATGAACTCCGTGCGGAGATTCATGTTCTGCACCCACTAACCTTTCCACCAGGATTCTGGCAAGCGCCATCGCATTATGGGACAATCTTACACCCCCTCCTGAAGCAACTAACTATCTCCGCAACCGCTGAAATAACTAACGACATCATCCCAGCCATCACTGAGCTCGCCACAGCGTCATCCTCCTTCTCTAACCACCGAGAAATCAATGCAATTCTACTCAAATACATGCGCGCAGAAGAAACACAGACAAGGCTTGCGACGGTCATGTGTGAGCAGAGTTTAACGAAGAGACTAGGCGAGGAATGGCTGGGGTTGTTGCCAGAGATGCTGCCGTTTATTAGCGAATTGAGGGAGGATGATGATGAGATTGTGGAGAGAGAGACGCAGAGGTGGATTTTGATGGTGGAGGAGGTGCTTGGGGAGGGATTGGAGGATATGTTGCAATAGATGGGGATTCGGGATATGATGGGAGGACCATTGCGTTAGAGTCTAGATATCAGTTGTGTTTGCGTGTTCCAGATACGAAAACTTTGAAGGAGTGTGCTCTTGAAGTACTGGGGGTTGTGTTGACATCTCTCGCTCTGTCGGCATTCGTAGAGAGTCATTTTCGTTTATAAAGCGAAGAAAGCGGGTGGTTAAGACGTTTGCCACGGTATATTGGTGCCTACGGTAGAAGTTAGATGGCTGCTAGCCCGACTAGCCCTTAGTGCGGTATGGAGTTCTATCTCGAGTCACTTTCATACACAAGGGAGCTTTTCCGCCCAGGATGTGAGCTACCAAGCTATTGATCATGATATCTTGCTACGGTGAGATTGGACAAACTATACTACACAAAGATAGCCTTACCTTGCGATTCCGAGTTCCGAAATGTGTGGGTGGGCCAGTTTGGTGACCTGAGAATGTTCAATTCCGTGTTTCACAAGAAGCATCGATCGCTGATGCGCGTTTCCTCATCTGGATATTTATCCGACTGCAGCACAGGCTGTGGGATGGGTTTTAAACTCGAAGTGATTCTGAGAGGGGAATATTAAGGGTAACTTCGTAGAAAAGTTGTAGCAGGCTTTTCTGTCCATTCTTTTACTTTCAGATACCCCGTTTGCGGTTGCTTTTCTGCTTCTCGTCCCATCTCATCACATTTAATTGACAAGCATCAACACCTTGTTTGTCGGCATGGAATACCGTGTAAGCAAATTTGTTCTCTTACAGTGGCTCGAAGCGCGAAGCACGGCTCGGCGAATCCGAGTCCGAGGAAACCCTTACTCCGCGACAACATTCCATCCTACTTCGGAAACCCAACGGCCGAAGTCGCTACAACGCTTCTCAGCGCCCGCAGCACCCCCCATCGCTTCCAACACCTTGACAGCACGCCACGTCGGTCACTAAACGCTGGGAAGAGGATGTTGGTTGTGCCTTCAAAGACTTTTCATGCGCCGGCTAAGGCGTCTCGGCACATCGGCTTACTAGTCAAGCTTTCATTCCCAACGGAGGCGGTGATCGACGGCAACGGTATCAAGCCTCTAACGTGAGAGGGTTACATGGCGTGCGGAAAACCGGGATTGTTGGGTCAGCGTTGTGACCGGATTGGCTATGATCCATTCACCCTGCTTGAGTCGCGTGACGAGCTATGACGTCACTGGGGTTTGAGGTTGCGAATACTTGCATTGAGAAAAACACTACCACGTGTTATGGTGTTGAAAAGTACGTGAAGAGGAAAAGAAGAAACGCCCATGTAAGATCTGGTAAAAAGATATGAATTTATTGGTTGTTGCCTAAGAAGGTTGAGCTCATCTGCTGGTCGGTTTGGGTATGTCATGATGATCATATCTCTCGATCACAAGCTCATGAAAATCGTAACTCCGGGTACGACCGCCGACTTAATCGCCGTGTCCATGCCACCATTTTCGTCCTCTCACAGTCTCCAACTCCAGTCGCCCTTGTCAAGCTACCGTTGTCACTCTTGGGTGAGTAAAATCAGCCACTTACCATCGATGATTGCGGACTTTATACCTCGTCAGGAAATCCATCAGCAACTCCGCGTCCTGAAACTTGTCACAAGGGCATCTGATATTGCGGGGTCCCAAAGGCCGAACCACGTTACTTCGTTCCTGGGACCCCGAGCTCCTGTCCTGCTCCTTGATATAAACCCACTTTTCCCCTGCTTTGAATACCCGCATTTTTTATTCTTCTGGTTTTCTCAAGTCTGGTAGGTTACCCAACTGGCTGGACCGAGGGAGAAAAAGAGCAGCCATGATCGGAAGTAAGTAAAACGGTCCCCACGTACCTGTGTGTTCTCGACTGATGCGAACATGTTTCAGACATCTATGTCATCACCGCTATTAGCGTTATTGGCGGTGGGTTGTTCGGTTTCGACATCTCATCAATGAGCGCAATGTATGCTTTAGGTCTTACAGAAACTTTTTAGTAACCCATTTGTAAATGATGGAATTCTAACACTTTGCAGCCTTGGAACGAAACAATACAAATGCTACTTCAACCAAGGACCTCATGGCCCAGGATTTGACGGCGAATCTGACTGCTCTGGGCCCAGGAGTGATGTCCAAGGTGGTATAACTGCTAGTATGCCGGGAGGTAGCTTCCTTGGTGCCATTGCCTCGGGTTTCCTCTCTGATATCTGGGGACGCAAAACTTCAATTCAAATTGGATGCATAATCTGGTGCATTGGCTCAATTCTGGTCTGCGCCTCGCAGAATATTGGTATGCTGGTCGTCGGCCGCTTCATCAACGGTATCGCGGTCGGTATATGCTCGGCTCAAGTTCCCGTATATGTTTCTGAGCTTGCTCCACCATCTAAGCGTGGTCGTGTCGTTGGAGCTCAGCAATGGGCTATCACCTGGGGTATATTGATCATGTTCTACATCTCGTACGGCTGCAGTTACATCAACGGAGTTGCGGCATTCCGTGTTCCGTGGGGCCTTCAGATGCTTCCTGCCATCGGTCTTTACTTTGGCCTGATCTTCTTACCAGAGTCTCCACGTTGGCTCGCTAAGAAGGATCGCTGGGATGACTGCCACTCTGTCCTTGCTCTGGTCCATTCCAAAGGTGACATGAACGCTCCATTCGTTCTCCTCGAATTGAGCGAGATTAGAGAGATGGTTGAATTCGAGCGCGCAAACAGGGACGCCTCCTTCCTCGAGCTCTTCAAGCCGAAGATGCTGAATCGGTTGCATATTGGTGTATTCACACAAATTTGGAGTCAGTTGACTGGCATGAATGTCATGGTGTGTCAGACCTGGAGAATCTTCTCGTTAGTGGAATTACTAACTCCCCTTTTAGATGTACTATATTACGTATGTGTTTGGCATGGCTGGTTTGTCTGGTGACACCAACCTAATTGCTTCATCTATCCAGTACGTTATTAATGTCGGCATGACAATCTTCGCCCTCGTATATATCGACCGCTGGGGTCGCCGCCTGCCTCTCCTCATCGGTGCAACACTCATGGCAACCTGGATGTACGCTAATGCAGGTCTCATGGCAACCTATGGATCTCCCGCTCCCCCTGGTGGCGTTGACCACGTTGCCGAAGAATCATGGCAAATCAAGGGCGCTCCTGCACGAGCTGTCATCGCCTGCACATACCTCTTTGTCGCATCTTTCGCCCCAACTTGGGGACCCGTCTCTTGGATCTACCCACCCGAGCTCTTCCCCCTCCGTCTTCGAGGAAAGGCAGTCGCAATTACCACATGCTCTAACTGGATCTTCAACTTCGCACTCTCGTACTTCGTGCCCCCGGCATTCGTCAACATCCAGTGGAAAGTCTACATCATCTTCGGCGTCTTCTGTACTACCATGGCTATTCACGTCTTTTTCATGTTCCCAGAGACTTCCGGAAAGACGCTCGAGGAAGTTGAACAGATGTTCGAACATCACATTCCAGCATGGAAGACGAAGGTGGAGTTCCAGAAGATTCGACGTGCTGAAGGGGGCGAGATTGATGATAAGGAAGCGGCGATGAGGAGGCAGGAGAGCCCCGTGAGGATGGAGGCGACGGAGGGGAAGGGTAGTTAGGGGTTGCGGAGTGCAGAGTGCGGAGTGCGGAGTGCGGAGTGCGGATGAATTTGTGGGGAAGTACGGAAGGGTTGGTTTTGAAGAAGGGGAAAACACGAGGGTGGGGTTGCTAGGAGATTGGCTGAATAGGAATATGGCAATGTGTGTTCTCATTGATGCCCCTCTTTCAAATGGACTTTGTTCTAATAATTCTCTCTCATCTCAGTAACTTGAACATCGTGTAACATCTGTAGAATGAAAATGACTAGGTATGTTTTGACCGGGCAAACTAACCCCTGTTCCTTCGACACGAGCTTCCGCATGCCAAGAAACCCCAGCACTCTTTGCGCGCAACCCCTGCTCAGGTATCGGAAGGGAAAGTAAAAAGGCAGAAGATTGCTCCGAAGCGGAAGGAGAATCTATAACCGTTAAGTAAAGCCAAAATCACAATTAATGAGACAGCTCTTGTACCCTCTTATTCTGGAAGTCTGCAAATATCTTGGCTGCGCTACACCATTGTAGACACTTGATTGATTCCTGGTCCCAGTCTTCTATATATAAGAGCCTTGGGGCATAAATTGAGCAGAGGAGGTCGCAATTACTACTGCTGCAGATAGAAGGCTAAGAAATTTGCAATTGAAATCTAAGACCGCTGGCAGGTGCTCAATTATCTATCATAAATAGCCGCCAAGGCTCAGTAGCTCTCTTATCCCAACTCCAATTATGGCTTACAACAAACCCCTGAGCTGGCGTAGCCGAATGGACTACAGTTGGGAGAGTGGTTGCAGCTGCAGTAGCTACAGTATTTGGCGTGGTCAAAACCGGAGTTGAGTTTTGGATGGTGGGAGTGGTGGTCTTGGGAGTACATGGATGACCTGGTGGTTTATGAGAAGGACTTTAGGGTATGAATGAAGGAATTAGGAGAGGCGGCGGTAATTGAGGAGGGGTGCAAGAGGTAGAGAGGATCTGAGGTGGGGAGAGGTGGGAGGTTGAAAGAGGGGTTTTGGCTTTGGGGTAGCCTTTTTACGAGACATGAGGAGTTCTTGCTTCTGAGGAAGATGTAGAGCTTTGTATACATTCTACGAGACTTAGGATGTTATGATGAGGTTATAGTTGCCCCGAAGGCGGAGTCAAATGTTCTGCATATGGTAGAGTAGCGACGAGGAAGTCGATGCCATTGTCGAATTGTAGAAATAAACTGACTCCCTTTTTGGCGTATTTGAGCTTAATAAATAGTGATACATTTGGAGGTGTTCGCTATCGTTGAACTGTGGTGTTGCCCGAGTGAACGGTGGGTAGTTTTGGTGTAGTCGAGTGAAGGACTAATGAGACAGCAGAAGGACAAGTTTTGAACATGCAGCCTTGCCCCAGATCAGTATTAGAAGTTGTTTCTTTGAATTGTTGTAGCGAGACTAAAATTGGTGAATTAGCAACGCACGGTGATATCACCATCGTTCGCCACGAGGCACACTGCAGCTACGACAACTTGTCGCAGCGTTGGCAAAATATTGGACGGGGAATTAACCTACTCTACTAACATACTCCGGAGACCTGGGTAAGGGTTTAGGAGGTTGAGAGAAATTAAAGAGTTGGAACTGTGCGCTTTAGCCTTTCATATGCGAACATATCCTTAAGAGTGTTTTGTTTGGTGTGAGATAGCTGAGATATGAATTCATCAAGGTGATGTCTTGTATAGGGATTAGAGCTAGGAATTCATGGTAGTGTCGAAACTTACCCGCCCCTTTTCAGGATATATCAGTCTGACGATGTTGATATGTCCTCACGGATCTCACGATAATGCTTTGACGGCACACCCCACAAACGCCCTAGGTTCCAAGGTTCCAAGGTTCCTAGTAAAATGTTCGGGTCGCGCTTGTCGTTCGCTCAACAATTGCTTCCCTTGCATTCTGATACTATCCGGGTCACTCTCCAGGGCTAGACCAGATCTGCTTTTATAAACCCCTATTCCGCTCCTGACTGAGATGTTCACAGCCACTCACTTCCTACCCGCCACACAACAGTACTACACTTCGACGCCTGCCATCACTACTCATCGCAACCGCTACATCTATCATACAGCTATCAAAACCATCACCACTCATCAGAGAAACTTTTGTTTGCTGTTCCGGGGCTCTCCGAGTTCCGCCAAATGCTCAGGACCTACTGCTTGCTGCATGCTTAGTCATATGTTGCCTACCCTGCTTCCTAGCTCGCCCCTTGCATATGTTGACTCTTAGGAACACTCTTTTAGAACCCAATCGGGTTCCTCGTGCCTCTGCTGCTCCCAAAAGCTTCACACTTTACGTTCCGATGAGATTATTCAGTAAGAACAGTAAGGCTGAAAATCCACTTCTGCCCCCCCAAATGTGCACACTCGCACCAAAGCTGGCTGTAGCCGGGAATTTAAAACAGCATATTTCCACGAAACCACATACACAGCGAGTGGCTACACATCACACTGCACCGGCCCACCGACCCCCTTTCTACCTGCCCACCAGGAGGAACCTGCCACCAATTGGCCCCGAGCCGCCAAAAAGCACCGCCATCTACATCCTGTACGATGCTGCCACTGTCCTTCCGCACCTCCATCCTAGCACCTCGTCAAAATGAGCATTACGAACTAGAAAAGCCCCCCAACTTAAGAGGAGACACTTCTTGTTGCCAGATCACCCGGGGAATCCGACCTAGAGCGCATGAAGCTGGTCAAGGAGAATAAGGAACAAAGATGTAACCCAATGATGAAATGGGTACGGAAGAGTATTCTATCCCCGCTATTACGAAACGAGGAGTGGGAGCAGTAGCAGCACAAGCACCACCCCTACCAACGCACCAGCGCTCTAAGTCAGCCGCTTGGCGCCAAAGGCCGACCCACCTGCGCCAGCCATCGTATCAGGGGACTCCGCACTCCACCGAAGAAACGCAGGCAGCTACCTAAACGGCGATGGACAGCAGGGTTGGGAACTAGTGGGGATAGGATGTCACTGCCCCGGCTTAGTGACGATATCGAGCGGTAAGGACACGCGTGCATTTTGGGAGTGCTTGATTTTAGGCTGGGATTGCATCGTCATGATAACGTTTTAGGACAATGGGTTAGAAAAATTTGTTGAGAAGTTCAGGGATTAGAACGGATTCTACATAACATTACCTTTGCTAATGAGCAAGTACGAGAATGTTGATACTGATGTGACAACATTAGAGGCCTGCAAGCTTCATTTTGGAATAAAAATATTCCCTTCGATGTTTGCTAATACTATGTGCATGGGATTTGACCTTGCTTCTTCTGCTCACGGTATTCCTATTGAATGCTATCACATAACGTGGTTTGTGTTCAGGTTAGCTGTCTCTAATTTCTCGCTGAAACTAGGGAAAACGTCGATAGCGGTTTATCTTCTGTCTTTCTACTCCAATATCCCATCCCGACACCAGCCCGGTGCAGTCACTGGGTTACACCTCGCGACCTTCACGCCCTCCAACTGTGTCACATAATCCCAATCCCATCTCGCAGCCAATCTATACACCGGAAAATCCGTACTAACAATCTGCGCCCCGCTCTTGAAGGCGGAATCCCGCATTGTCGTGTTCTTCGCTAAGACTGTGCTGATTGGCTCATCTGCTCTCGTTCGCACGATATAGCCTTTCTTCACTAGACGTTGGATTTCAACGAGGTCGGCGCCAACGGGTTGGTTATGCTTGATGAATGCGCAATCTGGAGACCCCTCTAACGCGTTAGTGAAAATGGTGCGGTTTTGAAGGGATTCATGGCCGTTCGCGGTGTACAGGTTCCTTGGATCAGTCGTGATGTTGGCTTTCGGGTCATTGTCGAAATAGAACATGAATTTCCCGCGCACATCATCAAGCCGAGGCCATCCGTGCTGTAGAACAGATTGCTCGAGGGTGAGTCCTTTCTGGCGGACGTCATCGGGCGTAAGAAGCTGCTTTGCAGGGAGAACGGAACGGATTTCCTGGTCGATGTTGAGGAGTCGAGAAAGGGTCCAGTTCTTGGCTTCTTCGGCGCATACGCCGCCGATGATGCAGGCGTCGGCGTCGGTCTTGAGTTCCAGGTCGATGAGAATCGGAACATGCGTTGGGTTTGCATCGGACCAGGTCTTTAAGTTCTTGAGGCAATCGATGAAAGTATGACAAACAGCATTCGGATCGAAGTCTGTGACGTGGAAAACTTTGATTCCGGGTTTCTTCAACACTTCCCCATTGAATGGCCTCTGCTCATCTGTCAAATTACTCAAGGTCCAGATGAGTGGTGGGTAGTACAGTCCTCCTTTTTCATCGGAATGGAGATCGAGTTCTAAGCTGCGGACGAATTGGTATTGTAGTTGGTCAGAGAGCATGGAATGTGAATAGTAGTAATTTTGAGGCGAGGGCACGAATTTTTCGAAGATTGTGCGTTCAGCGAGATTGATTTCACGGTGGTATGAATTGTGCGTGCCAATGACTTGAATGTGGTTTAGGCGGAGATCGGAATGTGTGGATGCTGCAGCGGGAAAAGGGCCATCTACTCCAGTAAGTAATATACATAAAATCGGAAGTGATTTTTTCGCATACTGGCCAGAAGCACAACGCTTGCTGAGACCTGATGTTGTTAGCTTTCACAGTGACCTGCAGTGTTTGTGCACCGCATACCAACTCCCGAAACATCTTCGGCTGCGAAATCAACCCGAGTCCCGCAGAAACAATCGGAGTGCTCAACAAGAAGACCAATGTCGTGAGAAGCACGAAGCGTAGTCTATATACACTCTCCCACATCATATCTTCGTATAAGAACCGGCGTCCCGGGAAAAGAGGTCATCAGCACCTTCCTCCTTTGTTCTCAGCACATGGGCGTCAGATCTTCGACGATTGGACAATTAGTGCAGTATCGGAAGGGTTGGAGCCGAGGGGAAAATAGCCGTGCTGAAGCGGCGATGGAGTGAAGAGAGAAAATCGTCCGAAGGCTAGGCTTGCGACCTTGAATTGGTGGCTGGGAAGGCTAACGCTTGCTTACACGACGATCACGTGGCATTGTCGCGGAAAGTCCTCGGGTAAATTTATCCCACGGGCTAGACGCTCCTCAGGTTTGTCCGGGCTAATGACAACATTGTGGCTTGTAACGTCACGTTTTTTTTGCAGCTGTCTGCAGAGTGTCTAAGAAGATGAGAGTAAATTTGTATAACGTACCTAACAGGTTGGCCGGCCACACGGGTTGGCCGGCCACTTTTGCCAAGCCCCCACTAAACTCTACCTATCTACATAATGCCTTAACAACAACACTAGATTAAATCTTCTAAAGAACATTAGATACAGCTTACTCTTTAGGCTTTTAAATAAGACTTAAAACTTTTCTTATAACACGCTGCAGCTATTTATAATGTCTTTTACACAACACTAAGCAATTAACGCGCTAGACAGCCTTTATAAGTAGAATGCTAGCTTAAATTAAGAAATCTAACTAAGCTTTAAAAAAAAGTAGTTATTAAGTATATACTTAAGCTTATTATATATAGATTTTTTTTTAGGCTTACAGCTGTAGCTAATATAGCTAATTCCTTGCTTACAAAGCATAATCTAGGCTAGGTTAGCTTAAACTAGACTAGTATATAAGTTAAGCACTACCTTAAGTTTATAATAAAGTTTAATTATAAGTATAATTATAAAAGAGTGCTTTATAAAAATCTAGAGGTTATCTAGAGCTAGTTTTACCTAGTAGCTAACATAAAAGCTAAGTATAGTATTGTCACGGTATCCTCCCCGGATCCCAGACATAACTGTATTAGATGCGTACTAGAGTATTATTAGTGCACGTCTAACACAAACACAACACAACACAGACATAAACTTAAGTATAAACTACTTTAACACTAACTAAACCTAAAATAGGCTTAATTTATACCTAAAGCGCTTAGACTTTTAAGCTAAGTATTTAATTACTAATTTCTTTTTAAACCTTTCTGTTCTTTACATAACATCTTGTACCTACTATAATACCTTACATAGTAATTAAACTAGACCTTTATAAAGCTTTATAACCTTACTTATGCATAATTATAACATTATATTGTGTTAAAACTTTAGCTAAAAATAGCCTCTAAATTTAATCTAATAAGCTTAGTACTTATATAACTTTAAGCTATTAAAGTAAGCTAAGAAGCTTTCTAAAAAGCACTTACTTTATAAAAAAGCTACTATGTTATAAGCTTTAAAGCTTTTTAAAAAGACTTTAAAAAACAGCTTTATGTTATTAAGTAGTCTGTTTTTACTTTAACTTTTATTATAGTAGTAAAAACTAAAAACTTACTAGCCTTAAAGCTTACTTAGAAGTCTAAAGATAGCTTAACTCTTTTCTACTTAACACTGCCTATAACTTATAACTTTTTTAACTTAGTAATAAAATCTAACTAGCTTCTTAATTCTCTACTATTTAATAAAAAATAAAAAGACTTACTTTTTTTTTATATAAGCTTTAATATAAACTTAAAGAAAATATAGACTAATTTCCCTCTAAACACTTTTAGTTACTATATGCTTACTTTTAACTTAACTATAACATAACAGCCTTAATTAACTTACTAATAAATAAGGATATTATTAACTTAAATTAATTTATAGTGTTTTTATAAGTAACTTATAAAGACTTAAATAAAAAGTTAATAGCCTTAAGTTACTTAAATACTTTATAATAAAAAAAAAAAAGCTTTACTTTACACTTTACTAAGTTCTACTAACTTGCATCTAATATAGGCCTAAATAAAATAGGTCTAATTATAGCCTTATATAACTCCCTCTTAACTAAACTGTAACACGCTATAGTAAAAGAACCCCTTCTAAACAACTTTAACATGTATGTAAACTTAATTACTACCTATAATAATAACATAAAGTTTTTTTCTATATAAGCCCTAATACACCTCTAAACTAGCGCAGTTGCAAATAAAAACTTTAATGTAATAAAAATTAATTTAAATTATACTCTAGTTAGTTTTAGAAAGTGTAAAGATTATAAAAAAAAAAGTTAATACTTTAAGTATAGTAAGCATAGTTATATTTTTTAAAACTATATTATTTTTTTTTTTAAGTCTGCGTAAGTAGCGCTGCTAGTACTTATTAAAAATTTTTACTATTTTAATTTTATTTTTATAAAGGCTTTAACTTATATTTAAGCTTTAATTCTTTTTACTACTTTTAACATAGCTGCAGCTATAGCAGTAAAAGCCTGCAAAAAAGCTTGTCTTAGAGCTAAGTTACCTTTTAGAACTAATTTAACACTAAATCTTTGCTAACTTATAGGCTAAGTCTTTTACTAATAACTAGATGTACTAAGTTAATATTCTTATATATTTATAATAAAGAACTATATTAGCCCTAATATAGGCTTTTATTAACTTAGAAGTAAATAGCAATAGTATATCTACGGCGACATTTGTATGGCTGATTCAGCGGCTTAGCGAGATTTTCGCTGGCAGGGGGGGCCGTGCGCTCATCAACTTCCAGTATCCACCCATGTCCATTGCCCACCCTCTATGGGCGATATCTACGCCGCCACATGTGCAAATAGCCTGATTTTTGGTCTTATGATAGCTGCCAGGCTGCTCTAGCTTTAAAGCGCTGCAGAGCTGCATTATAATTGCTATTACGTTGCTAGGAACGCACTGTATAGCTGCTAGGTACCTCTTTATAAATGTCACAGTGTGACAGAAGTATACTGTGCTTGCACAGTATTCTAATAATGCAGCAAATTGCAGAACAATGTATTAAATTGCAACAAAAAGCAGCAAATTGCAGAATAATGCAGTAAATTGCAACAAAACGCAGTAAATTGCAGAACAATGCAGCAAATTGCAATAAGACGCAGCATATTGCAGAATAATGCAGCAAATTGCAACAAGACGCAGCAAATTGCAGAATAATGCAGTAAATTGCAACAAAACGCAGCAAATTGCAGAACAATGCAGCAAATTGCAACAAGACGCAGCATATTGCAGAATAATGCAGCAAATTGCAACAAGACGCAGCAAATTGCAGAACAATGTAGAATAGAATCCCTGCTTAGCAGCTATAACTATCTAAACACTAATTAATTAACTCTTATAACAATAACTATATATAATACTAGGACTATAAAACTAGGGGCGATTGCTCTCCTTCCGAGCGACTCTGAGATGCTTGCAGAGCTGGTCCAGCAAGACCCTCTGCTGCTGCTGCTGCTGGCTCACCTGCCACATAGCCGCCTCCTTGCTGGTCCTCCGCGCCTGCGCGATGCGCCTAATCTCCTTAATAACCTTAAGCCGCAGAGAGTACCACTGCAGCTCGCTCTAACAACCTAACCTCCACTTGTTCCCCCAGCGCCTGTCTAGCTCAGCGATGGAAGGCTAGCCCTGCAGGCCTACTGTCTATTCGCGCCAGAGATCCTCCACGGTCCTCACAGCGCGGCACATGCGATGCTTTGGTGCAGGTTCTAGCTTAGGCGCCAGCTCAAGCGCTGCTGGCAGCGGCGATGGGCTAGGCGAGCGCGCAGACGGCGTAGGCGCGAGGCTGGCCTGGGCAGAGGTATACCTGCTTGAATCTACGTCTGCCAGCGACGGCGGCGCAGCTGCTGTGTGCCTGAGTGGAGGTGGTGGCAGCAGCAGACCGCCCTGCGCCTGCGATGCCTCCAGGCGGAACATAAGGCTGCCAGACGTGAGCACCTGCAGCTGCTGAGACTGTAATCTCTGCAGCTCGCGCACGTGATTGAGCTCCTCCTTAAGCTCCCTCTTAAGCTCCCTTATCCGCTGCTTGTTCTGGGCATCTAGCGCTTGGAGCTGGTCAGCAAGCAGGGGTATCGCCTGGTACAGGACTGACAGCCGACTAGGAGCTGCCTCTGCGTCGAGAGACGCGTCGATGTCCTGAGCGAAGGCGGCGTACGCCCTGTGCTGGAACACTGGGTGGCTCCACACAGGGTGGCTAGGGAAGCGCCAGCGCAGCGCAACTAAGTCCTAGAGGATCACCTCTCTAAGGTAGAGCAGCAGGCTTGTGAGGCCCCCTGCGGCTAGGTTGTTGATCTGGCCAGCGTGTAGGCTGAAGCGGCCCTTCCACGCATTGAGCTCTGGCCAGATGAGAGACAGGAGCTCGTCTAGAGGCACAACAGCTGCGCGAGGGATCTCGAAGCAGCCTATCTGCGGCGGATGGCCAGCCATAGACCTCATGAACTTCTGCGGCAGTAAGTTAAGGTAGCAGCTAACTATTTACTCCTAATTCCACCTGCCTGCTTGCTAAATCTAATCCTTACTAACCCCTTTAAGCTCTGCTAGCTTAGCTACTCTACTGCGTAAGAGGTGAGTCTTCTTCTAAGATAAGATCCCAGCGTAACTGTACGCCTTCGCGACCCAGTCGCGCTGGGAGTTGTAGGAGAAGGCTGCTGTACAATCGCCTGTGCTGGCCTTAATTAGCTGTATGCGGTACTAGGCTAAGCGCTTACTAAAGTTAGGAAAGAGCTTGTCGCCTAGGTCCTAGCAATAGAGCAGGTAGAAGGCTAGGCTGCTAAGCATGCAGAGAATTAGCTTCCTGTGCCGCAGCGCGCCTATTGTCTTAAGCTAGCTATGCTAGTTCTGCTTACTTGCGCAGGTAGTAAATATTAGGGGCATGCAGCGCGTAGGGCCCTCCCTTTTAAACTTAAAGGTGAATAGGTCTAAGATCTCTGCAGAACAGCAGTTGCCTCTACGCGTAAGCATGTAGTGGCCCAGCATGAGATTGACTAGCGTACGGAAGTGACACTCTACTGTTGCTGAGGACAAGCTCGCGTCTGCGCTATGTGTCCACAGCTCGCTACAGAGCCGCTTAAACTTGTCCTTAGTGTAGCTGTTAAGCAGCGTGTCTCTGCCCTTGTTAGCGTACTGCTCTTAATCTTGCTGGGCATCCCTGCGCTGCAGAGACCTAAGGTACTCCCTTACGCTGTCTACGCGCGG